TTGCTCCTTCCCTCACTCCTTCCCTCACTCTTTCCCTCACTCCTCCCTTTGCTCCTGCCCTCTCTCCACCTCCCCCCCTTGCTCCTCCATCCTTTCTCGCTGCCCCACTCACATCCCTTCCTCCTACCGCTGCTTCCCTCCCCATTCCGCCTATCCCACCCGCTTGACTCCCCTCCTGCCTCTGCTCCTTCTCCTGCTCCTCTGCTCTCGCTTTTTTCCCCCCCGCCACTCCCCCCCCATCTCCCGCCGCAATCTTCCCGCCACCCATAACTGCAAGCATGGCAGCCGCGGCTGCTGCGGCAGCATCGGGGGAAGCAGCGGCAGGGGGGACAGGCAGAGGGGGACCGAAGGCGGACGGAAAGGTGGACGGAGAAGGGGCGAACGGGGAAGGGGCGCCGGGAAGGGCGAAGGAAGGGGCGGAGGCGGAAACAGGAGGGCCCGGGGGGGAGGTGCGCGAGTGGTGGCGCCACGCCCAGAAGGCACTCTCCGCGGCCTCATCCCGCGGGGACGAGCTTCCGGGGATCCGCGCCCCTCCGCCTGCCATTGCCTCCGCTACACCTTCCGCCATCCCGTCCGCCATACCGCCAGATCCTCCGCCTCCGCTTCTTTCCGTAATTGCGCCCGCGGCGGGCCTTGGGAATCCTGGGAATCCGCCCGAGCTTCCGGATGCGCCTGCTGCATGCGGCGCGGGGGGAGTTCCGCCCGTAGCGCGCGGCAGCGCGGACACCCCCCATGCTGCGCTCGCAACGGGAGACGCGGTGGATGGAGCGGAACGGTCGGAACCGGAGGAAGGCCCGCCAATGGAGTGTGTTGCGCACGCGGCTTGGAACGCCGGAGACGCGGCTTCGTGGAAGCTTCCAGACAACGAGTCACTGGTACGGGCGGGAATTGAGGCGCGGACGGGTACAGACGGGAGCTTGAAGGCCGCTTGTAGCGGGTCAGGAGCTTGTAACGAGTTCGCGGCTTGCGAGGAGCGCGGCGGTGCGGAAGCGGGCTGCTGGGTGGCGGCTGCGAAGGGCGCGTAGGCGAACTTGGACACGTGGCAGGGCGGCAGCACGGACGCTGCGACCTGATTGGTGGGCGGGAAGGTGCGGAAACGGCGCAAGAGTCGGAACTGGCAATGACTGGCACGCCATGGCGTGACGGATGATGAATGCATGCGCGGATAGGAAACGGACCCCGCCGCTTCGGAACGAGTGAACGAACTCGATCAAGTAAAGGGCTTAACATAATACCGGAAGCGGGGAATACGGGATACGCGAAACGATAACAGCTTGACGCATCGGGAAACAACAGGAAGGCGGGAGGCAACAGGAAGGCGGGAGGCAACAGGAAGGCGGGAGGCAACAGGAAGGCGGGAGGCAACAGGAAGGCGGGAGGCAACAGGAAGGCGGGAGGCAACAGGAAGGCGGGAGGCAACAGGAAGGCGGGAGGCAACAGGAAGGCGGGAGGCAAGCGTACCCCAGCGGCGGCGGGATGAGCGGGAGAAGCTGCGAATGCCGGTCCTGAACCGCTTGACGGAAAACTGCTTGACGGGAAACCGCTTGACGGGAAACCGCTTGACGTGAAAACGTTTGAGGGGAAATTGCTTGACGGAAAACCGTTCGACGGGAAACCGCCTGACGGAAAACTGCCTGACGGAAAACCGCTCAGCGGAGAAACGCTCGACGGAAAGCCGCTTGACGGAAAACTGCTAGACGTAGCGCCGAACGGGGAGGATGGGGGGAGCAAGCTGGCGAAGCCTAGCGGAGAGGCGAGAGACGCGGCGCGGTGGCGTTTAGCGGAAGGCGGCGCCAAGGACTCAAAGAGCGCCATCTTGTTCCGCGGGGGCGGCTTGGGCCCCGCCGCCGCTGCCGCTGCCGCGCTGCGCACGTCCATCCGCGGAAACAACGCTACTGGTTCCGCCGGTCGGCCTCTACTGCTCCTGCTGCTTCGATGGCTTGAATTCCTACTCATTCTAACAGCTTTGCTTTACCAATCAGGTACTGAAACGAGAAAGGCGAAAATGCGATGTGGTGCTAAGGAGCTTGAAACGAGTAAGATATATCGTAAGAAAACGCCGCAAATGCAGAAAACTGTTGATTCTTGCGTTTACTAATCGCTAAACACTTATCTACAATAGTTGTCAAACCAAGGCTCCTAATCAGAAAGCTATGCGACAGAAAAGAAATTTGATACGAGGCTGTAGTAGGCCTGGTCCTAATCGCTCCATCAATCGTGTCTCTTTCCCTGACGTGCGATGACTAAGGTACGAAGTGGTAAGGAGGGGAGACCGACGAGAGAACGGACAGCCAGCGGTGAAGAGTACCAAGATAACGTGAGAGGAACGCGTAGAAGATAAGCACGGAAGAAGAGGCAGCTGTGTTATGGCGACAATACGAATCGTGAAACTAGGTGAGGAGGAGCAAGAAGCGAGGTGAGAAGGGAAGGTGAGAAGGAAATGAATGGACGAGAGCGATGGATGCACCAAGGAACAGGCAAGAAAGGAGTGGACAGATGGGTTTAGATGGTTTTGGGTGGGTTGAGATGCGATGGGGAGGGATTTACAATGAGATCCACAGAATGGATGGATGTTTCTTTGGAAGAAAAGGCACAGAGCGGGAGAGAACTTCGGGAAAGTGCATCAAAATATCTTCCGTTCTTGGAAAAAGTGCATCGAAATTTCGAGAAATAGCAATATGCCATGGATTCACATGGTATTCGAGCAAGTGAAAATTTGACACGTGCACACAAAATCTTTTGCTCTGGTCCGGGCTGGATCCAGCGGGTCAAAGCGAAGCCTGGCCCAGCGGCGCGAACTTTGTGGTCAGAATTTCTGAAACCCTTGGTTGCTCCGGCTGGTTGGTGGCGTGGCGCAGTCGGGTGGGGAGGGGTGGTTGCTGTGCTGTATGGTGTGGAGTTCGTTCAATCCACCCAAAAAGATTGTGTTGCCAGGCAAAAAGCGTTGTGGCTGAAGACTAGCGGGATTTTGACAGGTGTTAGGCCCGCTGGCCTAAGTTCGCTAAAGAATTAGCGGGGTAGACTAAGTCTAGGATGAAGCGCGGCGGAAGACTTTGGCGAAAGAACTACTAGCGAAATAGGCGAAGGAGTTACCGGGTAATTGAAGAAGAGTTGAATGAAAATTGGTTGATAATGCCAAGTACAAGCAAGGTTTATATAGCATGCAAGAAACAAGGTTGGAAAGTGGATTGTGGGACCAAGAATTGTAGTGCAAGAAAAGTAGAGTGCCACGTGGCACTAGAGAATCTGAAAATGTAAGGATAACGGTAACTTGGAAAGTACTGTTCGGAATGAACAGTAAACACCCCTCTAACACTACCCCCCTCCCAAGGAGGCGACATCCACGGCGCCTGCAGACTAAAGGTACGCTTTGAGGCAAGCGTTGTCGGGAGACAGCGAGGACGAAGGAACCCAGCTGTCGTCGGCTGCATCGTAACCACGCCAACGAACTTAGAAGTCGATGAAAGAGACACCTCCCTATAGACGGTGACGGTGCCGGAAGATGCGCTGGATCTGGTAGTCGGGCTCGTCGGTGTCAACAGCTACCGGCAGTGGAGTGCGATCACGACCCGAGAAGGTGGTGTTGGGATCAGTGTAAGGCCGAAGGAGAGACACGTGGAATGATGGGTGCATGCGGAAATGAGCGGGAAGGCGAAGGCGGTATGCGACTGGACCAAGTGCGCGCTCAATGACGAATGGACCAATGAAACGTGGGCGAAGCTTGCTGTCCTGTGGTAGTCAGAGGATGCGGCTATCAAGAAGGACACGGTCACCAACTGAAAACGACACCTCACGACGACTGCGGTTGGTAGTGCGTGCCATGCGTGCATTTGCGAGCTCAAGGTGCTTCCTCACGTGATCGTGAATGAAGGTGAGATGCTGGTGGAAGTTGTCTTCACGAGAGACAGTGGGTGTGAGATCGACACGAGTGGGGACATTGGGGTGCTGACCGTACAGTGCGAAGAACGGTGACATGCCTGTGGCGGAGTGGTGCGTGTTGTTGTATGCGAACTCGGCCATGCTCAGCTTCTTGTCCCATGTTGTTGCGTCGTGTATCGTAATGCTGCGAAGGATCTGCTCCAAGGTCTGGTTCACGCTCAATTTGTCCGTCTGTCTCTGGATGGTACGCAGACGACATGGCTAAGCGAGTCCCAAACAGTGCGAAAAGCTGCTTCCAGAACTTCGAGGTCAATCGAGGGTCGCGGTCGGAAATAATCGAATATGGAACCCCGTGCAGTCGAACTATGTTATCTACAAACGGTGTCGCGGCTTGCTCTGCTGTGACCTGGCCGTGCGTGGGGATGAAGTGCGCTGCTCGAGAAAACTTGTCGACTACAACAAAGATGGCGTCGTGACCCCTAACTGTGCGCGGTAATGCCATGATGAAATCCATGGTAACTACCTGCCAAGGGCGGTCGGGCGGTGGAATCGGCTGCAAAAGTCCTGCCTTGCGCTGTCGCGAGGACTTCGTACGCTGACACGTGTCACACGAGCGAATGTAATCCTCTACGTCTGCTGCAAGCCCTGGCCAGTAGTACGTGCGACTAAGCGTCTTAGCCGTCTTGTCTGCTCCGAAGTGACCTGCACTAACTACGTCGTGCGCCTCTGAGAGAAGGAGCTGTCGAAGAGGGCGGTAGGCTGGAACCCAAATCCGTGTGGTGCCCTTCCGTATGTAAACACTACCCTGCACCTCTGCTCCTGCGGGCGGCTGCGGTGTGAAGTCGGGATCTACAGTGTAACCGTGCTCGAAGAGTGCTGTGAGAAGTGGATGGCCTGCAGTGACTGTGAGGCTAGCGAGCTGACAACTAGGGCGAGTGAGCGGATCTGCTGGGTTGCGCACGCCTGGCTTGTACTCTATCCTGTAATGAAAGCTCCCCTCCATGAACTCCATCCATCTAGCCTGGCGACGACTCAGCTGCGGCTGCGACTTGAGAAAGCGAAGCGAACAGTGGTCCGTGCGTATAACACTATCTGCCCTATCTAGGTAGCACCTCCACACCTTATACGCATGGATGATCGCTAGCGCCTCCTTGTCGTGTATTGGATACCCTAAGCTTACGCGACTCGTACGCGATCGGCTGCAACCCGCGTCCCTGGTCCTGAAGAAGCACTGCTCCTATGGCCTGATCGGAAGCGTCGGTCACTACAACGTACGGGCGAGTGGGATCGGGGTACGACAGTGTCGGTGAATATGTGAGCGACTGCTTCATCTGCTTGAACGCTTGCTGCTGCGCTGGACCCCAAACGTACTCTACGCCCTTCCGAAGTAGGTCGGTGAGTGGACTAGCGATGGAAGCGTAACCCTGAACGAAACGACGGTAATAATTCGCGAAACCGAGGAAGCTCTGCAACTCCTTGACTGAGGTCAGTGTTATCCAATCCTGTACGGCTGCGATCTTCTTCGGGTCGGTCCTAACGCCACTAGCGGAAACGACGTGACCTAGAAACTCGACCTCGGGGAGAAAGAACTCGCACTTCGACTGCTTCGCGTACAGCTTCTCCCTCCGCAAGACCTCAAAGACCCTCTGCAAGTGCTGCACGTGCTCCTCTTTTGACTTGGAAAAGATGAGTATGTCGTCTAGGTAAACGACAACGAACGAACCTAGGAACTCGGAGAGGACGGTGTTCATAAGCGTCTGGAACGTCGCTGGGGCGTTGGTCAGTCCGAACGGTAGAACCCTAAACTCGTACAACCCCTGCTTCGTACAAAACGTCGTCTTGTGCTGGTCCTCTGGAACTACGCGAATCTGGTGGTAACCCGAACGAAGGTCGATCTTAGAAAAGACTCTAGCGCCCTGCACTGCATCTAGAAGATCCTCTACTCTCGGCACCGGGAATCTGTTCTTGACGGTGGCAACGTTCAGTGCGCAATAATCTATGCACATCCGTAACCCTCCGTCTTTCTTAGGCGCGAAAAGGATCGGTGCGGCCCAAGGCGACCTAGATGGCTGTATGAACCCCTGTGCGAGAAAGTGCCTAACCTGCTGCGTCATCTCCTCTGTCTCTGCTGGACTCAACCTCCACTGCGGCTTCGCTACTGGCCTGCTCACCGGTTCCAACTCTATTTGATGATCTACTGCTCGGCTGGGAGGTAACCCTGGGGGCAACTCGTCGGGGAAGACGTCTGCGAACTCTGCTAACAGTGCACTCACCTCAGCAGGAAGAGTCGTCTTCTCACTAACTGCTGCGCTCCCTCCTTTCCCCTCCTCAGCTTCCACCTCCTCAAGGAAAACCGCGAAGATCCGTGCTGCTCGCTTCACCAGCTGTCGCATACGAACAGCATTGATGATCGCTGTGGATGATGTGGCCCCATCGCTCCACTGTGGCAGCTCCCGGAACTCCCCGTCTACCTTGACGCTGCAGCTTTCTTGAGCCTAATCGAACTGAGTACTAACCGTCCGTAGCCAATCTCTCCCGAAGATGAAATCGTAACCGTCCAGCGTCGCAGAGTCGAAGTCACGCCTAACTGTGATCGGTCCTAGCACTACGCGCAACTTGCGAATGACTGGTCCTATGTGGAGAGGCGTCCCATCTATCATGTGTGCATCCTATAAGTTGACTGAGGAATCTGCTTCAAGATGGAGACGGCTAACTAATGAAGACGAAACGAACGAGTGGCTAGCTCCGCTATCGACGAGAATCTTAACAGGAACTCCGCGAAGCTTCCCTAGAAGCACGACTGGTCGGTCAACAAAGTCTACCTCGTTCTCCGTACATGACTGCTGCGAGGCCGTCTTCTCTACGTTGGTAAACTTGGCGGGTACGGAAGCCTCAACACCAGCTAGCGATCCGCTATCGACTGGCGGTTTCCGTTTCCCTGCTGCCGCTCCTTGAACTGTGGGCAGTCCCGCTTCATGTGTCCCGGCTTTTTGCAGTAGTGACAGTTCCCCCTAAATCCGTTGCGCTGTGAGCCGTCACTGTTAACTGCACCAATCTCCATGGGCGATGGTCCGTCCCTCGATCGAGCGTCGTTGATCGGTCTGTTGTATCCCCTATCGCGATCGTCACGACCCCGTCGGCTTCGTACTGCGTCGACGCGTTCTGCTGCTGCGACTACCGACTCGAAGGTGGACAACCCGTGAATCGCAATAATCTCCGCTATGTCCGGCTTCAACCCTTCGAGGTAGCGATCGCGCATCTCTGCTTCCGTGATGTCGTCTATCTCGTTGCAGATGCTCAAGAACCGTCGTGTGTACTCCTGGACGTTTCCTATCTGTCGGAAATGACGCAGACGCTTCCTAGCAGCTTCGGAGGCGTTCACCAAATCGAACCTACTTTTCAGCGCAACACATGTCGTCGGAACCGTGGTAACACCCAAAGCTAGACTCCCTAAGCTCGAAGTTGCAGCTGCATGTCCCACGCCGTGTTGATGCCCGTCTAACTGAGCCCTCCGTACAGCAGTCTGCGTAAGTTGGCGCCACCACTCCAAGGCCGGGCCCCTCAGCAGCGTTACGGCGTACTCGATCCGCTGCTGCGCGTCCGCCTCTTGCACCCCGCTCGCAGCAACGTAATTGTTGAGCATGAAGAGCCATACTTGCACATTCGCGTTGCGTTGACTTGGGTCGAACGACTCGGGCTTCTGCGGCTTGAGTGCGCTTCGACGTTCCGGCAGCGCTTTCACGCCAGTCGACGTGGTGGGTGCAAGAATTGGCGCGTCAAGGCCACGGGGGTTAGAAGCCAAATTGCGAAGCTGTTGCATTTCAGCTCGTACCTGACGATTTTAAAACGTCAATTTTTCGAGTTGACGCATGAGCTCGGCAAGCGTGTTGCCCATGTCGTGGGGGAAAGCGTTCATGGATTCGTCCATGTTCGCTCGACGACTCCAAGTCTGCAAGTCGGTGTGAAAACTATGAGGCAAGAATGATTGGATTGAAAGAAGCAAGGGTACAAATAGGAAACCCTAGTTGGGGTTGTACCCCATATTGGCTAACCCGCTACAGCCTACAAACATATAGCACATTTATACTTTGACACACCCCCATAGGCAAAGTGGGGGAGAGCAAGGGGTCACAAGACCAGTCAAGCAAAGCAAAGAACAAGCTCAGGGTGGATCACAATGTCACCACACTCTCTGAGCACAAGCAAAGGCCACAAGGCCAGTTCACATGCAGATTTATATAGAAGAACACAAGTAGTACAGTGATCAAAGCCTAGCAAGTGCAAGCATGCAAGGACATATATATAGATCACAGTACAAACAAAGTCAAGAAGTAAGCAAGTGAGAGAACGTGGACACAAGGCCTAACGCAGTGCAGTGCCGCTGATGATCACTAGGCGGAAGCGCCTTGGTGAATATATCAGCAGTGTTGGCCTTCGAGTCCACGTACACAAGGCGAAGCTGGCCACGCTGCTGCAGCTCTCGAGCCAGAAAGTAACGGAGAGCAATGTGCTTCGTTCTGTGCTCCAGTCTGTGCTCCTGACACAAGGCAAGAGCTGCCTTGTTGTCGCCGTACAGAACTGGAGGAGAACGAGGCCGCTCACCCAGGTCAGTCAGCAGGTAGGTGAGCCAGCATAGCTCCTGTGCAGCCATGGCCGTGGCGTAGATCTCAGCCTCACAACTCGAGCTGAGAACAGAAGAAGAGCGAGTGGAACGCCAAGAGACAGAACCAGAGCCAAGGCTGAAAGTGTAACCCTGTGACGATCACTGCGTAGCCAGGTCGTCAACCTAAGAGGCGTCTGAGTGTCCAGTGAGGACAACCGAGCCCTGTCCTCCAAGCACCAGCCCCATGCCTGATGTACTGCACAAGTAGCGCAGCACCCTCTTAGCAGCCTCCCAGTGCTCTCGCCTGTGTCTCCCAGGTGCGACGTAGCGAGCTAGGATGCTAAGAGGGTACGCAAGGTCAGGTCGAGTGCATGTCATCAGGTACATGAGGCAGCCCACAAGCTCTGGGTACGGGCCACTCGGCTCTACGGACTCGTCCGAAGGTGGAGCTGAGAGCGAGAGGCTGATAGACTGAGGAAGGGACTAAGGTGAGGAGAACTGGAAGCTGAAGCGCTGAAGGACCTGCTGCACCATGTGTGACTGAGTCAGGGTGATGGTGCGGCGTGCTCTGTCCCGAGTGATCTGCAAGCCAAGGTAACTGCGCAGCTCACCCAGGTCTGTGCACATGTGTCTCTTCTGCAGCTCCGACTTCACAAGAGCAAGTGCCTCAGTGTCAGCAGTAGCAAAGACCAAGTCGTCGACGTACACGAGGATGTAGAGCGGCGGCAGCGACGTGTCTGTGCGCAGGAACAGTGAAGGGTCTGCAGTGGAGGGAGCAAACCCAAGAGCCGCAAGTGTCATCCTCAGTGTGTCGTGCCACTCACGTGGTGCCTGGCGGAGACCGTAAACTGGCCGTCGGAGGCTCCACTGGGTACCAGGAGGGAAAGACCCAGTGAAGCCAGGAGGACGGCGCAGCCAGATCTCCTCGTGTAGGCTGCTCTGCAAGAAAGCCGTGCTGAAGTCAAGAGAGTGAAGCTCGTAGTCACACTGAGCGGCAACGTGCAGCAGCATCCGAAGAGTGGTCATCTTTGGGGTAGGGGAGAAGGTCTGGAAGAAGTCAACTCCCTGTCGCTGACTGAAGCCTCGTGCAATGTAACGAGCCTTGAAGACAGGCGGAGAACCCGGCGGCCGCTTCACCCTGAAAATCCACGTGCCATCGACGATGTTCGTTTCAGGAGGGGGAACTGCATCGACGTAGGTGCCTGTGGACTTCCAGGATGCCATCTCTGCGTCCATGCTGTCTGCAACTGAGAGGAGTAGGGACCCGAGACCGCCTCTGTGTAAGAGCGGGGGGTAGGGATGTCAAGTGCATCCGGGTCTCCCTCAAGGGCAAGCAGCCAGGCCGTGAGATGAGGTACAGCAGCCGCAAGACACTCAAGGTCCTCCTGTCTGTCCTCAAGGACGTCCGTGCCAAGAGCACACTCACCCCCGACGGACGGAGGACAGACAGAGGCATACTCAGCAACAAGACTAGCACCGTAGTCTAGACGACAGGCAGCACCAAAGTCCACAAGCTCAGCGACCAAGGCAGACGCAGCAGCAGACTCAAACGACGGGTCGGTGACAACAGTGGCTAACAGACGCTGCTCAGCACGGAACCGGTCAGACTCAGGGTCCGGAACGACAGGCAAAGAGGATGCAGGGACAGACGGCAGAGGAACATGCTGCTGAGTGGGAGAAGGACGTCTGACAACCAGGGGCGTGCTGCGAACAGGCGGCTGTCGCAGACTAGAGACACGACGACCGGAACGACCAGGACGGACAGGCGAGACAGGACGTGACGCAGGCTCACGACGCTCAGTAAGACCTCCTGGCTGCTCAGAGTAAGGAGAAGGAGCAGGCAGTGGTGAGCCAGGCTGTAACGGAAGACCAGTAGACGACAGGAGACTAAGAACCTGGCGAAGTGCCGAGTCAGACGGTGGCTGAGAAGACGGAGACGGCGGAGCAAAGAACAAACGCCGTGGCGCCGTGTCACCAGCAGCAGTAGTACCAGGACCTCCAGCAGCTCCAGCCCCCTCAGCAACAGCGCCGCCATGACCAGGTCCACTGACAGTAGCACCAGCACCCCCAGTAGCTCCAGGACCCCCAGCAGCTCCAGAACCACCGGCTCTAGCACCTCCAGGACCAACTCCACTAGTAGTAGCACCCCCAGATACGGCACCCCTAGTCCCAGGGTCTCCAGCAGCAAAACTCTCACACAAAGCTCCTCCAGCCCCGGCAGCTCCAGTCCCTCCAGTACGAGCACCTTCGGGACCAGGGGAAGGAACTCCAACACCTCCAGGAGCTGAGCCTCGAGCTCCAGCAGCGCGACCCTGACGACGCCCGAACCAGTCGTGCAGCTGCTGTGAGGTGAGAGGTACACGCGGACGAAGGCAGTCGCTCCACGGGGACCGCGTCCCAGCAGGCGCAGTACCCTCAGTTGGCTCACCTCCAGGCCCAGCTCCCCTTATCTCCACACACATAGGCACGTCACCCCCAGACACAGCACCCTCAGGCGTAGTACCACCAGGCTCCTAACTCGCAGGCTCAGCACCTCCAGGCACCTCACGCTCACGCTCCGCACCCCCAGGCTCAGCACCTCTAGGCACCTTATGCTCACGCTCCGCACCCCCAGGCTCAGTACCTCCAGGCTCCGCACCCCCAGGCTCCACACCCATAGGCTCCGCACCCCGAGGACCAGCACCCCCAGAGCCAACGACACCTCCAGCAGGACCAGAGTCACCAGTGACCTCAACAGGCGCAGGTACGGGAGGGTCTACCTGAGAAACACCTGAAGGGGCAGGACTTGGCGTGGGAAGGGGGTCTACCTGGGGAGGACCTGGAGCGAGGAAGAGCGGCGGGGGGGCGCGAGGGGAGGTACGGTAGGGAAAGAGACGGTAGAAGGGAACGGACTCGTCAAAGGTGACATCCTGAGACGCAAAGGCACCGCGCGATGTGGGGTCGTCGAACTGCCAGCCAGGCGCGTCAGGAGGAAAACCAAGGAAGACACAGGGAATGGCGCGGGCGGAGAGTTTGTCCGCGGTGGTGTCGCGGACAAAGGCACGAGCACCCCAGACCCGAAAGCGCGACGCATCGCCAACCTCCCCCGTCCACAACAGTGTGGGCGAGGTCTCCGGCAAGGAGGCACGGGGCCAGAGGTTGAGCTGATGCGCGGCGTAGCGGACCGCAAACGGCCACAGAAAATGGGGGCCAACCGCATGGATCATGGAGGTACGAGCGACCTCCATGACTAAGCCAATGCGGCGCTCAGCAACCCCATTCTGCTGTGGAGAGGCTGGAAGCGTGAACGTCTGGCGGATGCCGTGCTCCGCACAGAAGGCTCGCAAGAGGTCAGAGGAGAACTCACCACCTCTGTCAGAGTGCAGACGCAGGACAGGAAAGTCCGTCTGGAACCGCTCGCGAAGCTGGAGACGAGCAGCGCGGATCCAGGGGATCAGAACATCAGGGACCTGCCCCTTGCTGCGCAAGGGGAAGACCGTGGTGTAGCGCGAGTAGTCGTCGACGACCAGCAGGAAGTAGCGCTCGCGGCCCTGACCCTGGACGCGGGCTGGGCCCCACACGTCCAGGTGGAGCGTCTGCAGTGGAGCCTCTGTGGGAGGGAACGAGGAGGAGTGAGGAGCGGCGCGCAGCCGCCCCTCGACGCAAGGAATGCAGGGCGGCGCAGGCGAGGGAGGGAGTGCAGGCAGGGACCTGGGAAGACCAGAGACCAGACAGCGAGAGTGCATGCCACGCAGGCGAGGCAGGGAGGGGTGACCAAGGCGGTGGTGCCACAAGAGAGTGTCGTGGGACAGGCGGCGACACTCACACTGGGTAGCTACCTGAGCAGACGCGTACAGCTGTGGAGACAAAGGAGTGTAGCGTGAAACAGTGGTGAGGGTGTACAGACTAGACCCTGGCTCACGGGTGAACGTGGCTAGGTGGCGGCCAGTCTTGGAGCAGGTACAGATCGCCACACGCTGCCCTCCAGGAGTCCAGGTGTCAACCCAGTGATCCTGAAGGACTGCGTTGCTCACCAAGTTCGTAGAGAACGAGGGAACATGGAGACCTGACAGCTCACCAGACGGGACCGCCGGGCACGGAAGCACAGTCGTGGCACGTGCAAGCACTGGGCCCCCAGAGGGTTCAGTCAGCGAGACAGGAACAGGTGCAGGGAGGGGGGTGGCTGGGGTGCTGTAGCGAAAGAAACAGCGAGAAGCACCAGAGTCAAGTGTAAACGT